GTGGTGTTGGGTCGATGGTTGGACTCGATGATCTTAGAGGTCTTTTCCAACCTCAGTGATTCTATGATTCTATGACAGGCCCTGGTCCTCACGGAGGACTCAAACCAGTATATGCACTGGAGGGACAAAACACAGCAGGAGGTTTCTAGCACTGACCTCATTTGGCCTAACAAGTGCGTTCAGTTCCTCCCCCTTTCTCCCCCCCAGTTTACGCACAGTCAGGGTTTGGGAGGATTTGGCCATTGCTCCGTCGAGCACTTTAGCTTCCAGAATAAACGATACCAACCCCCCACCACCGCACCACCACGGCCCCCGTGGGATGCTGTAGAGTCAGCCTGCATAGGAAGCACTGTCTGCACGTTCCCTGCATCTTGCTGCTCAGACTTCTGGTTTTCCATTCCACTGACTTAAGTTAATGCCACATTCAGCTGCTACGTCCATTGCCCTCTTTGGCCTTATTTTCTTAATAAATACTTAAGCTGCAATCCACAGGCAACAATTCATCCCAACGCAACAACTTCGGTGCTAGTCAAACATTCAAAAAGCCACAGATAGTCATTCTCTGACTAAACTGCACGAATTACCCAAAAGGCACGCTTGTTATTAAGTAGCTGACATTCCGATTTCATCTCTTTCCACTGCAATCTACAGTGCTAAAAACACAAACCTCAGCTTTCCTCTGAGATTACCCGGTTACATTTATGATGCGAAAAGGAACACTGCAGTTTTGGGGTAGGAGGGAAGGTGGGAGAATGTGAAAGTCTTTCCAGTAAAACTAGAAGAAACAAAAAGTCAATCCGTTGGGCACCATCGGGAGAACGAGATTCCAAGCCCTCGAGCGCACATCTGCGACAGAGAACCGCCAGCGGATCTGTTAGTTCGTAAAACTGCTCCCCTGTATTTGAGGAAGGCACAGGTTCAGACTTCTACCACTCTCCGAGAAGCCAGCAGGTTGCTTTGTGGGTAACACGTACATCAGAACAGCAGCTCACTGTGAATTCTCCCTGTTTCTTAGGACCTACCATAGCGTTATTCAGAGAGTCCTTTAACCGGGATAAACCAAATCATTTTCATCACAATTACCAGATCGAGAAATGGGGAAAAAAGTCAACAGCATCATTTCTATTACATTTTAAGCAGTCAGTTATTAAAGAAGCTGCTTCAATGGTCAAGACAAATGGACATGACGATGGTGTCGATGGTGTTTGCTGACAGCAGTGATCCCAGCCTGGTCCGGCCCTGCCCACCAGCAAAACCCTCAGCAAGAATGTTGTACGACCGGCACTGGAGGCACAGTTTTCCCCTCCTTCCCTTCACACCACCAGCCTTCCCCTCATTTGGGATAAATACCAAATTCCACAGTCTGGGTCAGTTGTGAGTGCTGAGAGACCTGAACCAGTGCATCATCCTACGGTCACATTATCACAGAGGTTTGGGGAATTTTGCCAGGACAGAGAAATGTTATTTCTGCCATTACATAGGTGAGCTTTCTCCTGGGTTCTGGGCACAAAACCAGGCTGTTGTATCCCATACGTGTTAAATCCAGGATGTCAAAGAGAAGAGTCTCCAAATCTCCATCAACTGAGCAACTGCGTGGCATTCCCCCGCCATACTTTCATCTCCAAGAACAATTATGTATTACCTGATGTGGATTCTTCCAGCAAGTTGAAAATATCATGGTGTTTGTCACAAATTACTTGATTTTTCATTTTTATTTTGCATGGTCTTTGCAGACATAGCATGTTATAAATACAACATTTGTAAAAACTCAACAGCTGAAACAATACCTCATTTTAAAAGTGCATGTCAAACACATATTTCTGACTTTTTCACATTTTTTTTTATGCAACGGATCAGTAACATTGAATCTAATAAAACCAGTGCTTTTAAGTCTTCGGGGGGAAAAAAAGCAGCAGAATGTATTCTTCCAGACATGAATTTTCCAAAAGAGTCTGTTAAAAAACATGCTGCATTGATATCTGGTTAATATACAGAGGGATGTACATATGTGTATATATATGTATATATATTTATAGGCTCGCAGATAGAGCGAAGAACTCTAAGACCACATTAAGATGAAGGTGATCTAATGATCCAGCTGGCACAGTTAGCAGAATCTGTCAAGAAGAAAAAAGTGATTTGCTCTCCAGCTCCGGAACCAGAGTTAAGAGCAACACTTCAAAGCATTATTAACCAGACAGTAGGTAGCACATTTCCTTCCCCTCGTGACCACAACTGACGTTTTAAAGCGTAACCATGTTCTAAACATAAAGGCACAATTAATGGAGGAAGACAAGAAGCGATCATCGTTCCTTCATAGAGGTGTAGAGACTGGGACTGCAGGACCTTGGGCCACCTCAAATCGATCAGCGCTAAAAGGGACAGCGCTAGACAAGCAACTGGGGAAACTCGCCTTCCGCTTTCCCTGAACAAAGGTGCATCTTACGATCAGACAAGGCAAACAAAACCAGTCATCATTCAGCTGAAACAACAGATTTACAGGTTCATGTTCACAGGCAATAGAATTTTAACAAGCGATCACCAAATATAATGCAAGATAAATACCTTTTCAGTGTCATCTAAAATCCTGTTGTGCCATGCCTACCTAGGAAGAAAAGAATAAACTGAAGTGGCGGGTGTCCAGTTGTTAAACCAGTATTTCCTAAACAACCAGACTTTCAGAATTAAGGAATCCTATCTAACATGAACATAACTGACTGTTCCCCTCCCAGACGCTGGGGATCCAGAAAATCCGTCTCTGGATTTAAGTCACTTGACTTAAAAAGAACTTGGCTAGAAGTGACTTGTATTTAATCAAGCAATATAGATGCAGACTCACTAATATTTAGAAAAAAGGAAAAACCAATGTTCTTTAGTTCAAATTTTAGTTTGTATTTACAGAAGTGGGAGAAGACTGTAGGCATGCCTTTCAACTACAGATTTCTGTGGGATAGCAAAAAAAAGTCAAAATTTAAAATACTATCTTGCCAAATACAGTGACTTCACACATCTCCAAAAACACACTCACATAAGATTTAGAGGTATCGTGGTTAAGAAAGTTAAAACCTCTTTTATACACAATCCTCCACTCACTTTGAACTGGCCTGAGCGATGACACATTGGAAAATAAAAAAAGGCACAAAGCAAAAACTTAAGACGCTACAGGATGAGCTTTGCTGTCTAATGATTCGTACATCTATCCTCAGGTATCCTCCTCTCAGATGTGATATTCACGTGTATATCACGTATCACAGGAAGATATTAACGTGTTTTCAGTCAACAAAAACCGAGCAATTCCACAGGCCTACAAATCAAAAGAAGAGAAAGAAAACCTTAAAGAGGAGAAAACTTGCCAGCGTGCAGTTCCCACTCACACTTCTGACTTCATTAAAGTGGAACTCTGAAGGTAAAAATTACTTGTGCAATAACAACATTATATGTAAACCAGAGTAACCAACATTGCATGATGATTCTGCGGGCCCAATGCTGCTATCGTATGCTGTCCAAATAATGCACTTCTGGGTACAGAGTGTTAATAAGGAGCGCCAAGAGATTATTGCCATCTCGAAGACAGTGTTCCGGATGCTTGATGAACTGAGAAGCCTGGGAGAGCTGCTCTTGATAATCCATATATTGTTTGTTTGATGCCATAGATTCAAGAGCATTCAGTGCCTATAGATACAAGGGAAAATTCTGTTAGCTGTGTGTACTTTGGTCCGTAACAAACCAGTTCATGAGCCGCCATATTCACAACTCCACTAGAAGATCCTTATTTACTAGAGATCCTGGAGTATTTGGAACAAAACATTTGTAAAATACAGTCACTTAATAGTGTTTCAAGTCATCTCATATTTTTCCAAGCTGTTCCTTCCCCAAGATCAACACAACTGTTCTACCAAGGCTTGTTAGGATTCTGTAACCCAAAATATTATCAAATATTTACTTTGTGAGTTCAAGACATGGTTTCAAGGAAGTTACACCGAACTACAAACTGCAACACACTTAACTATTCACTTCAGGTTTTTCTTAAGAGCATCTTTGACTCTCATAAAAGTATTATTTCGCTCCCATTAATAACATTACAGAGACAACGTCAAGTTATAAATTACATGTAAAAGAAACTATGCTGGCAGTACCAGCCAGGGCGAATGCTGGAAATATGTCTGAACAAGTTTCATTCATTTCTTAGAGAAGAGAAACAAGCTGTACCAAGTAAGTTACTTTGCTTTGGTTTCTAACCAACTCCTCCTTCCTCTTCTCATGCGCTTACTGAAACAATGTGGTCAGTGCACACGCTAAAGAAGGAATGTTTATTTGTCATAGGGCTTTTAAGCCCTGATCTCACATAAACAAATGTTAGTGTGAATGTAGTCCTGCTTTATCACGGAAAAGCAGTGCAGTCACAGCAGCATTGTTTTTTCCTGTTTGTTTTAAATTCCTTCTACCTGCTAGGTTCCAAAGTTTCTGAACTCAGGGTTTACAAACATAAGTTCATCTGCACCTTTTCAGTGTGTAAGATGAGAAACTGATGCCTTCATATTAATACAGAACGCTGTATAAACAGTTTTACCTAGGATCACTTCAGGTTAGGGCTCAGACACACAGTCCTGCTACCAGAGTTCAGCGAATTCGCATCGTCACCTGGCCTACGCTGCACCTGGCCTTGCCTCTGGCAAATTCCAAGATGGTGTTTTGATGTACAGCAAAATAGTACACAAGTTTGTGATACACCCCCTTCCCCGAGAAGACAAATGAGAGCAACAAGCTATTTCTGAAATTCAGAATTTAGAGCCAGGTGTAAAGCAGTAGCAACAAAAGATTGAGGGCATTCAGCGCCAAATAAAATCCACAAGTTGAGAGTAAGATTTAGCTTGAAGCAATGCTTGCAGTGACTCTTATAAGCCGCAGCCCACAAACTGAGCAAGCACGCAAAGAGGGCACGTCAAGAAGCCAGCAATTGGCACACACTACCTGCTGGGCCTTCTGCGACAGCTTTGGCTCTGACCCCGCTTTCAGGCGGACTTGACCCTCTGCAGGAATCTGCACCAGGAGGAAGGCAGACAAACTGCGGGCAACCACCCGAAACCTTGCATAGGGAAAAGCAGAGAAAGAGAAGGTGGTATCAAATTTGCAAAGTCCTCAACAGCGGATAAACTAGAAGTTCTATCCCGTGAGATCTCTCTTGCACGAGGAACATAATGAAGGCTTTACAGGACCTTTTTCAATGCATTAGAAAAAAAAAAAAAAATCACTTTAACATATACATAATAGTCTATCATACATACTAGAGGATAAGATAATACCATACATATGAAATGTTACATCTGTTCCAAGTTTAGCTGCAGCCTTGAGGCCACATATGAAATACTCCTCCATTTCGCAGCCTTTGAAACATCCACATCAGCCAAATCAAGGGATGAGTTGAAAGAGACTAAGATTTCAGAACAATTTTAACAGGATTGCATCCCAGGTGGTCTTTATAAACATACAGTTATGTTCAGGTACTGTGTTGAACTGGTGTTCCACAAACACTTATGTATTTTTTCTTGGCATTCTTTCCATAGTGAGCTTGATTTTAATACCTAACAACCAAACTTGGTGTCTCTCTTTAGAAGGTAAAGTGAATAACAAGCAAGGACATGTTTCTTTGAGCTTCTCTTAACATTTCCAACACCTCAAGGTTAAGATGGAAAAGGCAACATGCATGTGATCATACAAAATTCTTGTGAGGTCAACTGGAACAGTCTTCTACAGACCAGGCGAAAGTATTTTCCTCTAAGAAACAGTCTCCCTACAAACTTCGCTGGAGATGGACATTAAGCCAGAATCACAACTGCATTTTCTTTCCTTTTCCACCACAAACTTTGCAGAAAGTTCGTATTCGCTTCTTAACCAGATTAAAACACTCGCTACATTTTTTTCTGCGATGGGCCCAAACAAACTTCTAGATTTGGGGACAGCATGGATTCAGAACATCTTTTGACATTGCGCTGTGCAGTCTGGATCCAGGCTGCAGCTTTTTTAACATGATGACTCACATTATATCAACTAATTCACTGTACCTTCAACCCTTACCTGGGTGACAAAGGAGACCTCCTGCCTAGCCCAATAGCACCAAGTATTCCAGAAGTCAGTCTCTCCTCAGCCAGCTGACTCTGTCTGCCCTGGATTGACAGCAGTGTCCGAACGACAGATTCGATCAGAATGGTGTCATCTTGCTCCATCTGAATCAAGGATAACTGCATGGCTTTATGCCACCAAAGAAACAGCTTTGCCTCTTCCTTTGCTGAGCTTTAGGTAAGATTTAAAGAATAAAAACAAAACAAAATATAAATTTAAAAAAAAAAAAAAAAGATGCATAGGTTAAGAAGTTTGTATCTCTCCCCATTAGGCCCATGAAGAATTCAGATGATTAATTAACAACAGCTAATCTTACTATATGAGGATAGCATAACTATACTACCCCACCAATTATTATACTGCTTTAATTGCTATTGTTACGGATTTGATGCAGACATCAGCTAGCAGGTTTCAAGGGCCTGTAAGAGGACAAAGAACAATGCTTCCTTTTAAGCGTTACAACTGAGAATAAATGATATTGCAGCCATAAGTGGATTTAAACTTGTCTAAGACTTGGTATAAAAGGAATGAAGCTGTATCTCTACTCTTTTTGTTTCTTTACTTACCAACACTTTAGGAAGCACTAGCTGTTGTTTCCACAACAATTTAGACTTTTAATATGATTTTCTAGAAAAGGAAACATTGAAGTTTTTTGTTGAGCAAAGCACAAAGTGAAGTTCCCCCTACGATATTTTTAATCTTTCCCCAAACGGTTTGCAGTGTAAGTTAACAAGCTCAGATTTTCCACATAAAGCATCAGCACGAGTTTCCTACATCAGACTATCCTCGCATTACTCCGCCCAGTCATTTCCCATCCCAGGCAGCCTCAGCTTTGATGTTTAGAGCAAGGTTTAATTTGCTGTGTATGGTGGCTTTGCTGTCTCCTTCACACTTTGACAATCAAATTACTACGGTACCTACAAAAATGAAAGTATTCTTTGAATGTCAAGAAACAGTGGGAACATAAGTTTTCCCAAAATGTTCTTTCACAGCAAATATGAACGTTATCAGCATTAATATGGAAAAATATTCACCACATTTGCTAAATTCTGGCAATTTCAGCAGCAACTGTAAATACAGTTGTTACATACTTTAAGTACAAAGTATTATAATTTTAACCCCAAAGCTATCCATCCTCTCCCGCCAGAACCCTGGTATCTAATAAGTTGGTTTACAGCATTAGAGGCCGCTAACTCTGGGCACCCCCCCAGATCTACTGGGTTCAGATTCGGTTCAGAGCTGCTGACAGTCACCAGCTCTGTGACAGCTTTGAAGACCAGGTCTCTCAGGAATGTCAAACTGAACATTTAGCACATAACTCATCCCACCTAGTGGACATTTGGGAAAGTGGAACCCACAGTGATTTAGGATTTGTTTAAAGTAGTTTTAACTGGGCACAAATCCAGGCTGCCACTGAAATCAAGCTTCTCTGACGGAAAACTCATCAAAACTGCACCAGAAGCAGTGCAGTTCACGTAAATAAAATTCCCTCTTCTGTTTAACCACAACAACTATTAGTGTTGGCACTGGGGTTGGGCAGATTCCGCAATAGTGGATTATAGAAGGATTGGCCATTTCATCCAGCAGCCTGGTGACATTAACCTAATTAACCTGGCCACCTAATTATGCCGGCTATTCAACTATAGCCCTATTTAAAAGTCAAGGCATATTCAGAAGCCTTGAGTTTCATACCTTGGGTACACTTGCTCCAGCCATTTGCTGATGGTCAGCAGGATCTTCATTTCGTTGGTAAGAGTTTGGTCAGTGTTCAGGCATTGCAGCAGGTAGACATACAGGGTCAAGTAGCTTCCTAAAGACAGACACTCCTGCAGGAATTCTTCCATGGTTAGCTCAGGAACTTGGAGGGAGGCGAGTATAGGGCCCCAGCCTAAATCCTGGTGGTGAGGATAATCTATAAAGAAAACAAAAGGACAGAACAAAGAACGTGTGAGAAAGCGGCACTTAGTAAAACCTAAGAACTACAACTACTTCACTGTGTGCCTATAAGTGACAGAATTTGGGCTGGTTTAGCTGTCTTCCAGGTAATCAGTTTGTCATGCAACTCTGATGGAGAGAAAAGAAAAACTCCACTATCATAGTGGATATGAGGTCAAGGTGAGATATTTTCCCAGCATTCAGTCAGGATTAAATTTGAAAATTTTAACAATGGAATTTTAAATATTTCCTTCACATGTACTGAAATCTGATCACACAGAATGTGGAAGAAATCAATATGTAGTTCCACAAGGACTACGTAAACAGAAAGAAAAGAAAAAAAGAAAAAAAACCCCACACCAAAAAAACCCCACACCACAGAATTTCAGAGTTTTACCAATCAAGAATTTTTTTTTTCTTAAATTAGTCTACAGAACACTAGGGGAGGGGACAAATACCTGCTTTGTTCTCTTGAGATGATATTTTTATTTTTTTTTTTTTTACAAAGTCCTCCCCTTTAGCTGGAAAAATGGTAACCATTACACAGAGCAAATCGGTTTTCACAGAGACAGGTATAGTTCTTAAGAAAATACACAATTAGAGCAGTTGAAAAACCCAAACCACAATTGCCTAACCTTTCCACGTCTAGTTACTACAGCACATATGTGTGTGACAGTTGGGAGCCATCAGATACAAAGAAAGGAGCTCTGATTACGGAAACCAGATTAAAACCCAGTTCCAGTACTGGGCAGCGTGAAGCTGTAAGGATTCCAGACGATTTGTATTTAATGGGCATCCGAGACCAATCAAAGTTTCTGAGACAAGCAGCAGCAGAAGACAGGCTCCTACCTTGATTGAAGTAAGCAGTGATACAGGCTTCTGTCGTCTCTGCCATGTGTCGCACAGAGGCCAGGCTCTGACACGCTGCTGTGAGAAGGGGCATCGCTAGCAACCCATGCACTTTGCTGTCAATCCACTTCCGTAAGCTCCCCCGTAGCGACTCAGCTGTTGTAACACTGGAATTGTTCATCATCATCAGCGTTTCTGTAAAGAGACTGCTGAGGGCCATGTGACGTGTTTGCAGATCCATATCTGAAAGTCAGAAATAAGAGAACCATTTCAGTAAATAGGCCCTAGAACCCAAGTTCAACTTCACCACTGAACCCTTTCTGCAGATACTGGGAGAAGCCTCTTGCTCATTACACACCTCAATTCCTTGTCTGTACTTATGAAACTGCAATAAGACACCCATTCCTCGCAGTCTCTTCCCTTGATGAGGCAGTTCATCATTCATTAAACAGACAGACAGCT